TGGTCTAATGAGGCTCCACTGGTCTAATGAGGCTTCCCACTGGTCTAATGAGGCTTCCCACTGGTCTAATGAGAGTCAACTGGTCTGATGAGGCTTCCCATTGGTCTAATTAGGGCTCCCCACTGGTCTGATGAGGCTCAACTGGTCTGATGAGGCTTCCCATTGGTCTAATGAGGCTTCCCACTGGTCTAATGAGGCTTCCCACCAGTCTAAGGAGGCTTCCTACTGGTCTAAAGAGGCTTTCCACTGGTCTAAAGAGGCGTTTCACTGGTCTAGTGAGGCTTCCTACGTGTCTAATAAGGCTTCTCACTTGTCTGATTGGGATTTCCATTGGTCCAGTAAGGCACCCCACTGGTCTAATGAGGCTTCCCACTGGTCTAATGAGGCTTCCCACTGGTCTAATGAGGCTTCCCACTGGTCTAATGAGGCCTCCCACTGGTCTAATGAGGCTTCCCACTGGTCTAATGAGGCCTCCCACTGGTCTAATGAGGCTTCCCACTGGTCTAATGAGACGTCCCACTGGTCTAATGAGGCTTCCCACTGGTCTAATGAGACGTCCCACTGGTCTGATGAGGCTTCCCATTGGTCTAATGAGGCTTCCCACTGGTCTAATGAGACTCAACTGGTCTAATGAGGCGTTTCACTGGTCTAGTGAGGCTTCCTACGTTTCTAATAAGGCTTCTCACTTGTCTGATTGGGATTTCCATTGGTCCAGTAAGGCACCCCACTGGTCTAATGAGGCTTCCCACTGGTCCAATGAGGCTTCCCACTGGTCTAATGAGGCTTCCCACTGGTCTAATGAGGCCTCCCACTGGTCTAATGAGGCTTCCCACTGGTCCAATGAGACGTCCCACTGGTCTGATGAGGCTTCCCCATGGTCTAATGAGGCTTCCCACTGGTCTAATGAGACTCAACTGGTCTAATGAGGCGTTTCACTGGTCTAGTGAGGCTTCCTACGTGTCTAATAAGGCTTCTCACTTGTCTGATTGGGATTTCCATTGGTCCAGTAAAGCACTCCACTGGTCTAATGAGGCTTCCCACTGGTCCAATGAGGCTTCCCACTGGTCTAATGAGGCTTCCCACTGGTCTAATGAAGCCTCCCACTGGTCTAATGAGGCTTCCCACTGGTCTAATGAGGCCTCCCACTGGTCTAATGAGGCTTCCCACTGGTCTAATGAGACGTCCAACTGGTCTAATGAGGCTTCTCACTGGTCTGATGAGGCTTCCCATTGATCTAATGAGGCTTTAAATGTCTGTAATGAGGCTCCACTGGTCTGATTAGGATTACCATTGGCCTAGTGAGGTCTCCCACCAGTCTCAGAAGGCTTCCTACTGGTCTGTTCAATTACTGCAACTCCACTTAGCTTTGAGATAGCATGCTAGCTAAATACAACCTCATAAAATGCTTGAAACTGTTTATTATTAAAATGTATGATTCTGAAATGTTCAGTGGTGGGAGTGGATCAGATAATCTGCTACCAGGTAATATCTGAACTAACATTTTTAAGCTGATTAGTTTTTTAAATGAAGTCTTGAAACCAGAAGCAGACAATGTTGCTTATAGTTGGCATGACTCAGGTTATCCTGATCTATCTCTACAGTTTACTGCTATAGGCTTAGACTGCTGGAGGACATAGGGACTGCTTTGTCATCATTTTGCTATTCTATCTATTCTATTTCTATTCTCCCACTCTGCAGAATCTGTTAGTTCAATCTCTAATGTTCTGCTCCCTCTGCTTTTTCTCATAGTAGCTTCATCTGGTCTGTTCCTGTTTGGCTGTGACTCCATCCTGGAGAGGATTTCCCATGAAAAGTGGCTCAGAGCTTGTCTATTTAACCGTTTCTTTCCCAGCAGAGCCACCTGTGGAACTAGTTTACCATTGACTTTTCTATCATCAAAAGTATTTACCGATCAGAGCTTCTATGCTTCTTTTTCTATGTCTGCTTCTGTCTCCTTGAACCCCAGTGGGCCTCAGCAGATGGCCGCTCACACTGAGCCTGGTTCTGCTGGAGGTTTCTTCCTGTTCAAAGGGAATTTTTCCTCTCCACTGTCGCTACAAGCATGCTTAGTGTGAGGGATTGCTGAAGAGTCAATGAGTCGATGCAATCAGCTGGTTTTCCTTAGACAGAAAACTTTGAACCAATCTGACTGGATGATCTGGTGAACTGTGCCTTTAGCTTCCACTAAATGGGAATTTACTTCCTTTATGTCTCGTCTGAAACTAAAATCACGAGTTTGTTCAGTCTTTGTAGGGCATGTGTGAGGCAGAGACTTCCCTCTGGAAGACGAGGAGCAGCTAGCTGCAGGGTTACTGGTTCAGTTATGCTTTAAGTCATGGAAACACAGTTATCAGCCTAATCGCTATATTTAGTGATTTTTCAGACCTTTCTGTCAACTATTTATTTCCAAATAAGCAACTAGTAACCAATCTAGTATCTCAGTGCTGAGAAACAGATGAAAGCACAGATGCTCTGAATTTACTGTTCCCCCTGTGGCCAGTGATCGGCTCGTTCAGTCTACGGTAAAGGTAACATCTGGCTTTTAACTTTTTGTAGGTGGTCTATAACTCAGAGAAAACGGTCTGTTTCTCTGCTGGCCTTCTGGGTCAGCGATCTTTGTGTATGGTTCATTTAGTCGCCTGCTTCAGGTTTTGCTGGAAGCTAATGTTCTTTCTTTGCTGTAATGAAGTCGTTTCCCTGCGACATGTCCATCCATGGAAAGGTTTGACGCCTTTAATGGGTTTCAGTAGAGGTTTATATCCGGGCTGGGTTTATTGGAAGGAGCACCCTAGGTTGTATTTGGGCTGAAACTGTTTTCAGTTTCCTCTATAGAGGATACCAGCCTACGGGTGTTTGGGTTCTGGTGTTTACAGACTGTCTGTATTGATCGGTACTGTGTGCCTCTCTCTAACTCGATCTGCCTTTTTCCCTGTTTCTCTCCTGATGCAGGAGGTGAAGCAGACTTCTAGGATATTGTACTTTTCTCTCTTCACCTTCTTTCTCTCCATTATTTTCTGTTTTCCTTCCACTGAATCAAACTGTTAACTAAGTGAAACAAAAACAGCTGCATCTCCTTAGAGCAACACAGTCCAGTGAGCGGAGAGTTGAGCCAAAGTGTAGGATATAATATAGATTTCAAGTTAGAAGAGAAAGCAGGAGATGGACCCAACAAAACCAGGAGCAGATCACTAGTAAATCTGCAGGTGGTTCCTAGAACTTCTAAAAGTAGAATGGGAGGCAGATCTTTTAGTTATCAGGCTCCTCTCCTGTGGAACCAACTACCAGTTTTAGTCCGTGAGGCAGACACCCTGTCTACTTTTTAGGCTAGGCTTAAAACTTTCCTTTTTGATAAAGCTTCTAGTTAGAGTGGCTCAGGTTATCCTGAGCTATCTCTATAGTTCTGCTGCTATAGGCTTAGACTGCTGGAGGACATGGGGACCCCAATCAACTGGTTTTCCTTAGATAGAAAACTTTGAATTGATCTGACTGGATGATCTGGTGAACTGGAAAGTGCCTTCAGCTGACGTGTGTTGTGAATTGGCGCTATAGAAATAAACTGAACTGAATTAAGTCCGACTGTTTGACTATGATCAGCTCAGAACTGCAGACACTAGATGGAGCTCCTTGCACAGGTTCAATGAAGAACGTTTGAAAGTTCTCGCCTGTTTTATGTCTAGTTTTGCTGATGATCCTTTTTCTATGACAATAGTGACCTAGATGGTTTTGTCCCGTCTTCCGAGGGTTTCAGAACTTTATAGTGGTCCTCAGCATTACTGATGAACAGTATGTTGCTTTAGATGCTTCACTTCTGGACCAAAATAAGCATCTGATGGGAATGGATGGGTCATTAGGTCATCAGTTCAATTTTATCTTTCCTTTACTCTGAGGAAAGTATTCTAATCGCTGAACACTCACTCCACCTTACATGTTATCCGACTCTACAGGGAACGTTTTACTCATCGGGGTGGTCTCTGGTTCACACTGTTCATCCTCCATCCACTGGATGGAGGGTGGACCTGTGTCCCAGCTAATGTTGTTTATAAGAAGGGACAGAGCAGACTGGACTTCTAGAGGAAGCTTAGGTCCTTCAGATGCTGCAGATCTTCCATCAGTCTGCTGTGGAGAGTCTGATCTGTTAGGGTAACACCATCAGAGCTAAAGACTGAAAGAAGCTCAACCCGCTGATAAAGAAGGACAGTGTTATGTCAGACCAGCCTACCTATAGTCAATATGCCTCCGCAAGACGTCAGATTTGTGCTTATCCCTTTAGTTTTGTACGGGCGTGTATCCCTTTAGTCATGTACAAAAAAAACTATTTATGGTCAGATCGACATACCCTTTAAAAAACACCAAAAAAGGAAGTAATTAAATATTTTTTTTGTACATGACTAAAGGGATACACGCCTGTTGAGGTAGTTAAAAGTCTATTTTTTTGTACAAAACTAAAGTAATGAACTAAAGGGATAAACGGGTATTGACTATGGGTATGCTAACTGACAGAACACCGGGCCTGTTCTAGGAACTCCTCTAGAAGCTCTGGAGATGATTTCACAGAGAAGGATTCTTCATAAACCTGTTCAACCAAAGGAGCTTCAGTTAACTTGTTAATAATGAATCAGCTCATATGATGCGAAGAGATGTGAAAATCTTTCCTCTGTAACAGGATTCACGCATCTGTAGGACTAGGAACATGATTTAAAGCCTTCAACCTTTAAATCATCTTTCAGAGAAAATTAATAAAGCTGGAAAAAGTTTCTGTGTCCAGCAGACCAGCTTCCTTCCTTTCTCTCATTGGTTCTGTCCATCTGAAGCTAAATGTGGTGATCATAGAGTCAGTCAGCCGATCCACCCTGAACATGTCTGCTACTGACTGGGGTCACTGTGGCGGCAGCCGTCCTGACCTCTGAGAACCAGGAGGGGCCGTAATGGAGGAGCAGCAGCGCATGTCTGGTCTTGTTTTGATCATTCATGCATGTGTGTGTGTGGGGGGGTCTGTTTACCTGGGAGTTGACCGTCTGACCCATGGGGATGCGGGAACACTCCAGTGCGTACTGCTTGACACAGAAGTAGGATCCCTGAGAGAAAGGAAAGCAGCAGGAACCTGTTAGCATCTAACATTCTACTCTGTTTCCATGTCTGGTTAATACAACTATTCCTTATTTCTGCCATTAATTATGTTTTGATAGAAATCATTTTATTAAAATGCCATCGAACGCTGATAATATTAAGTGTGTCTCAGCCCCCCCCCTTCAGTGTCCACCATATTGGATCAGTCCATTTGCTGCACATGTTCAGAAAGGTCCAAACAGACAGCAGCAAACCATTTGAAAACAAACCATGCAAAGAGCAGTGTTGCCAACTTAGCGCTTTAGTCGCTATATTTAGCCACTTTTCAGACCCCTCTAGCACTTTGATTTCTAAAAAGCTCCTAGCGCCAAATCTAGAGACTTTTTTCTGCTACTGGAGACTTTGGAGACAACATCTAAAAGCAGCGAACTCTGCTCTCCAGAGCGAGTAGATTGGTAACCCCGCCTCCTGCTCTCCTCTATCTTGTCTGCTGTCATGATTCATGCAGCTATTATTTCATCCAAATGAAAAATGGAGAACAGATAAGCAGATCATGGCTTGTCTACAGTGAAAAGAAGGACTGGGTTATTTACTTTGGCCTTTTTGGAAACACAGGAAGGAGCAATCAGCTAAGTGAGCTTAGTGCTTGGAAAAAATCTTTCATTCCTTTAGAGACAGCATGAAAAGTCAGCTGAGTACAAAACATAGAGAGGAAAACAAGAAGAAAAGGGACAAGAGAGGGGCACAACCTAGAACAGAGAATGGATGTCTGTTCTATTAACATTTCTCTATCTGGAGAATGGGGCTGTTCTCCATTCAGAGGGCCCCTGCCTGTCTCTGCCTAGGGCCCCATATTTCGGAAGGGTCAGAACATTGAACATCTGAAAATGTCTCACCTGAAAGGCCAGCTCCATCAGCACGATCCCTCCTGGCAGCGCCCTCTGGAGGTGATAGGAGGCGGTGCCAGCCGCTGACGCCTGCCAATCACAGGAAGGAATGTTCCATCATGTAGACGTTCTACTGCCCAATGACGGAGCATTTAGAACACCTGTTCTCCGTGCCTTTCCTGTATCTAGATGCTGGCCGTTGCCATAGCGATGAGCTGCACTCACCAGCTCAGCCATGTTAAGGATAAAGTGGATCAGTGTGTTCCCACCAGTGGAACTGTGGCCATCGTCCTGAGGCGTGGACTCAGGTCATGTGACTTAGACTGAAATCCCACACTTGGTGACTTTGGACTCCGACTGCGAACAGCGCCGGGACCTTTACCGTGGAACCTTCCTCCGGACCCACATCTGATCCCGCATCCAAACTGGATCAGAGCTTTTCTGATTAACCTTCTTTCCTAGATGGATACCTGTGGAGCTATCTTACTGTTAGCTTTGATAACATAGAAAGTCTTTATAGATCTGTGCCTCTATGTTTCTGAGGGAGGTTTCTTCCTCTCCACTGTCGCCGAGTGCATGCTCAGTGTGAGGGATTGCTTGCTTTCATCCTGTAAACTGTGACTGGATCCAACCCGCTAGAAACTTTCAACCTTTAATCTAGAGGATCTGATTGATCTGGATCTATAAGGTGACCTGATGTGATTGGATCTCTATGGGATGGCACGCTACCTGCTGTCACCCTCCCAGCCGGTACCAGAACCATCTTCAAATATTAAAATGATGAGTTATTACCTTAGGGTTGTCCTCACTCTTCTGCTTCACATAGGAGAAAGACATCCTTCCCTCCAGCGACATGGAGCTGAGCAGTGCGGCGCGCGCCCTGGCAACGCTAGCAGAGGGATGGAGGGACAGCCTGAGGTTAATCTACGGTACCCACAAGACCAGCCGCTAACACCTCCCCACCGACGGAGGAATCCAGAAGCACAGACCTGCGAGCAGGAGATGGAGGCCGGACTTGGACCAGGATGAAGCCCATGCTCTGCAGGTACTGGACGTACTGCTGAAGGAAGGTGTTGGAGATCTCCAGCAGCCACGGCTCCTCCTTCAGCCGGCTGGGAAGCATGTCGGCCGAATCCGTGCTGCAGCTCCGATCTCGGCCCGACGCAGTGGAGTCGCTGGAACGATGGCGTTTCTGGGAACGGGTGGGAACGGAGGGTTCAGGAGGAACGGCCTGGAAAGCCTGGAACAGCCTGGAACGGCCTGGAACGGCCTGGGTTTGTTCTGCAGCCGCCAACCACCTCAGTGAAGCTAATCTGATCTAAAGCAACTGAGGTCCAGACGGCAAACGGACCCAGAACCAGATGAAGGTTCTGAAACGTCTGGCCTGCATAGCAGAGGGAGGACTAACCTTCACCACGGGCTCAAAGCCCGGTTCCTCCTGGATCTGCTTCCTGAAGCCCGGGTCAAACAGGAGCGGGGTGGCGCAGTAGTGGACCAGCCTGGAGGACTGCTTCAGAGTGTCCAGGTCGGTCCCCTGAAGGACAGGACACAACTTTACAGAGCCAACAGAACCAAACAGAACTTTTAAGATGGAACAGAACTTCAGAGGGACCAGCTGAACTAACTGGAGCCGGCTCTGGCTCCTGGACCGACCCGTTCAGATGTGGCACCAGCCTTCATCAGGTGCAGGTTGGTTCTGCTAGGTCCAGCTGGGATACTCACTGATATGGGCATGTTAGATTGGGCCGACCTCTGCTGCCACGTCACAAACAGGTTTTCTATCTTCATCTGCTTCTCCATCTCTGAAGGAACCAGCACAGACGCTTCAGAACCCCATCCAGAACCAGGAGCGCCAACGTTCCTGCAGAGGCGGCTTACCTCTGCGCTCGGCAGCCTTGATCTCCAGAAGCTGGTTCCCGTGTCGAAGCACAGCGTCTCCTTCCATCAGGGGCCTGATGGTGCAGACGTCCCTCAGAGCCTCGTCGAAGGGCAGCAGCTCTGAGGGGAAATGGAGCGGAGCCAGACTGCGTCCAGAACCGCCCAGCCTCCCCTGCTCCTTGCTGGGGGATGGGGCCACGGCGCTCCGCAGCAGGGCGTCGGGCTCCATGGAGGGGCCCAGGAACGGGTTTGGATCCTGGAGAACAGGCGGAGAAGAACCAACCGGTCAGATGACCTTACCAACCTGGAGCTTCTGAGGAAGGTCTGAGATGAACAGACTGTGGGCAGATGGTTCCATCAGCAGGACAGAAGTAGCTTTAAAAGTAGCAGAATCTGAAGCTGCTACTGGTTCTGGTACTGCTACTGGTCCTAATCCCGGTCCTGTTACTGGTCCTGGTTCTGTTACTGGTCCTGCTTTTGTTCCTGCTACTGGTCCTGTTACTGGTCTTGGTTTTGGTCCTGTTACTGGTCCTGCTTCTGTTACCGGTCCTGGTTTTGGTCCTGCTACTGGTCCTGGTTTTGTTACTGGTCCTAGTCCTGGTCCTGTTACTGGTCGTGGTTCTGTTACTGGTCCAGGTTTTGGTCCTGCTACTGGTCGTGGTCCTACTACTGGTCCTGGTTTTGTTACTGGTCCTAGTCCCGGTCCTGTTACTGGTCGTGGTTCTGTTACTGGTCCTGCTTTTGTTCCTGCTACTGGTCCTGTTACTGGTCTTGGTTTTGGTCCTGTTACTGGTCCTGCTTCTGTTACCGGTCCTGGTTTTGGTCCTGCTACTGGTCCTGGTTTTGTTACTGGTCCTAGTCCCGGTCCTGTTACTGGTCGTGGTTCTGTTACTGGTCCAGGTTTTGGTCCTGCTACTGGTCGTGGTCCTGCTACTGGTCCTGGTTTTGTTACTGGTCCTAGTCCCGGTCCTGTTACTGGTCGTGGTTCTGTTACTGGTCCTGGTTTTGGTCCTGCTACTGGTCGTGATCCTGCTACTGGTCCCGGTCCTGTTACTGGTCCTAGTCCCGGTCCTGTTACTGGTCGTGGTCCTGCTACTGGTCCTGGTTTTGTTACTGGTCCCAGTCCCGGTCCTGTTACTGGTCCTGGTTCTGATCATGTTACTGGTCCTAGTCCTGGTCTTGTTACTGGACCTGCTGCTGGTCCTGGTTCTGTTACTGGTCCTGTTACTGGTCCTGGTTCTGTTACTGGTCCTAGTCCCGGTCCTGTTACTGGTCCCGGTCCTGTTACTGGTCCTAGTCCCGGTCCTGTTACTGGTCGTGGTCCTGCTACTGGTCCTGGTTTTGTTACTGGTCCCAGTCCCGGTCCTGTTACTGGTCCTGGTTCTGATCATGTTACTGGTCCTAGTCCTGGTCTTGTTACTGGACCTGCTGCTGGTCCTGGTTCTGTTACTGGTCCTGTTACTGGTCCTGGTTCTGTTACTGGTCCTAGTCCCGGTCCTGTTACTGGTCCCGGTCCTGTTACTGGTCCTAGTCCTGGTCCTGTTACTGGTCCCGGTCCTGTTACTGGTCCTGGTTCTGTAACTTTTCCTGGTTTCATTATTGGTCCTGGTTCTGTTACTGGTCCTATTACTGGACCTGCTGCTGGTCCTGGTTCTGTTACTGGTCCTGGTTCTGTTACTGGTCCTGTTACTGGTCCTGGTTCTGTACCTTGTCCTGGTTTCATTACTGGTCCTGGTTCTGTTACTGGTCCTATTACTGGACCTGCTGCTGGTCCTGGTTCTGTTACTGGTCCTGGTTCTGTAACTTGTCCTGGTTTCATTACTGGTCCTGGTTCTGTTACTGGTCCTATTACTGGACCTGCTGCTGGTCCTGGTTCTGTTACTGGTCCTGGTTCTGTTACTGGTCCTGGTTCTGTAAATTGTCCTGGTTTCATTATTGGTCCTGGTTCTGTTACTGGTCCTATTACTGGACCTGCTGCTGGTCCTGGTTCTGTTACTGGTCCTGTTACTGGTCCTGGTTCTGATCATGTTACTGGTCTTGGTTTTGGTCCTGTTACCGGTCCTGGTTCTGATCCTGTTACTGGTCCTGGTTCTGATCCTGTTACTATTCCTGGTCTTGGTCCTGTTACTGGTCCTGGCTCTGTTACTGCTGCTAGTCCTGGTCCTGTTACTGGTCCTGGCTCTGTTACTGCTGCTAGTCCTGGTCCTGTTACTGGTCCTGGCTCTGTTACTGCTGCTAGTCCTGGTCCTGTTACTGGTCCTGGTTCTGATCATGTTACTGGTCTTGGTTTTGGTCCCGTTACTGGTCCTGGTTCTGATCCTGTTACTATTCCTGGTCTTGGTTTTGGTCCTGTTACTGGTCCTGGCTCTGTTACTGCTGCTAGTCCTGGTCCTGTTACTGGTCCTGTTACTGGTCCTGTTACTGGTCCTGGTTCTGTTACTGGTCCTGTTACTGGTCCTCTCAGTTTCTCCCGTGCTTTATTGGGGGGTGGTAGACGTCTAGTGTTGAGCTCAGCGAGTGTTTGTCATGTTTCTGGGTGAACTTCCTCGCTGGATGTTGATAAAAGGCCAGCTCCATCAGCACAATCCCTCCTGGCAGCGCCCTCTGGAGGTGATAGGAGGCGATGCCAGAAGCGGATGCCTGCCAATCACAGGACCTGAAGGTTCTATGGAGGCTTTCTAAACGTTCCATGCAGAGGAACGATTATCATCAGTTCCTGAAACTTTAAAAAATCCTGTTGCTTTAAGCTGCATCATTTGAAAAGAATAAGTAATTAGGATAAAAATTTTGTCATTTTATGGGAATTAAAGATTGAATAAAAAACAGAATCTTAGGAAACTTGTTTAACTGTAGCCTCTTTATTACAGTTACCATCACACATCTAAGAAAACTCATTTCTCATAATTTAGCTTTTTCATCTTCTAGAGTGGTTTCAAACATCCAGGCTGCTGTTTAATTGGAGGAACTGGAAGGTTGAACTGTTTACATTTCAATAGACTAAAAACTTAATAGATCCGCTGATCTACATCTCTAATCTGTTCATCTAATTATTTTCCTCCAATAAAAGACCGACTGCCTTAAGTGTTTAAATTCTGTATGGTGGTGCTTTCTATGTTGTAGTTTTCTACGGTTCTGATTCAGCTGCATATCTCCATGCTTTCTATTTTAATGGACGTTCAACTGTTTAATCTGTTGAGTCATACTGAGCCCCGCCCCCTTTAGTGGTCTCTGATTTACAGACAGAAAACAAATGTTTAGGGTTTCCATCCGGCTGAGGCTGATCTAGCATCTCTGAGGTGTTTGATGTGATTCTGTTCTGAGGCTGTTTGGAGGGAAATCTGTTCAGAAGGAGCAGCTGAGTGGATGTGACAGAACAGGGCGGCCCCAGGCTGAAGGACAGGCCCCGCCCCCAACAGATGAAGCCCTGTCCAGGCTAATCTGCTGCTGCTCCAATTGTCCTCATTAGCCATGAAGCGCTGCCAAGCGACAGAACCCCAACTGGATTTTTTTCTGGGAGCTGTTCTGTTCAGTACCTCCATCTTCTGGAGTCTCTGGGCCGGTTCTGTCCTTCTGTTCCAGTCAGTTCAATTTCCCACTGTTTGTTGCAGACAGTAAACGCATCACAGCAGAGATCAGAACCAACGTGCCGACCTTTAGAAAGGGGGCTGCTGTTTTCAAAGCAGACGGGTTCTGTAGAAGTTCTGTTGGAGTGTCTCTAGTATGTTGGAAGCTCTGGTCCATGTTGGAGGTTCTGGTCCATGTTGGAGGCTCTGGTCCATGTTGGAGGTTCTGGTTCACATTGGAGGCTCTGGTCCATGTTGGAGGTTCTGGTTTATGTTGGAGGCTCTGGTCCATGTTGGAGGCTCTGGTCCACTTTGGAGGTTCTGGTCCATGTTGGAGGTTCTGGTCCATGTTGGAGGCTCTGGTCCATGTTGGAGGTTCTGGTTCACATTGGAGGCTCTGGTCCATGTTGGTGGTTCTGGTTTATGTTGGAGGCTCTGGTCCATGTTGGAGGCTCTGGTCCACTTTGGAGGTTCTGGTCCATGTTGGAGGCTCTGGTCCATGTTGGAGGTTCTGGTTTATGTTGGAGGCTCTGGTCCATGTTGGAGGCTCTGGTCCATGTTGGAGGCTCTGGTCCACTTTGGAGGTTCTGGTCCATGTTGGAGGCTCTGGTCAACTTTGGAGGTTCTGGTTTATGTTGGAGGCTCTGGTCCATGTTGGAGGTTCTGGTTTATGTTGGAGGCTCTGGTCCATGTTGGAGGCTCTGGTCCACTTTGGAGGTTCTGGTCCATGTTGGAGGCTCTGGTCCATGTTGGAGGTTCTGGTTTATGTTGGAGGCTCTGGTCCATGTTGGAGGCTCTGGTCCACTTTGGAGGTTCTGGTCTATGTTGGAGGCTCTGGTCCATGTTGGAGGCTCTGGTTCACTTTGGAGGTTCTGGTCCATGTTGGAGGCTCTGGTCCATGTTGGAGGCTCTGGTTCACTTTGGAGGTTCTGGTCCATGTTGGAGGCTCTGGTCCATGTTGGAGGCTCTGGTCCACTTTGGAGGTTCTGGTTTATGTTGGAGGCTCTGGTCAACTTTGGAGGTTCTGGTTTATGTTGGAGGCTCTGGTCCATGTTGGAGGCTCTGGTCCATGTTGGAGGCTCTGGTCCATGTTGGAGGCTCTGGTCCACTTTGGAGGCTCTGGTCCATGTTGGAGGCTCTGGTCCATGTTGGAGGCTCTGGTCCACTTTGGAGGTTCTGGTTTATGTTGGAGGCTCTGGTCAACTTTGGAGGTTCTGGTTTATGTTGGAGGCTCTGGTCCATGTTGGAGGCTCTGGTCCATGTTGGAGGCTCTGGTCCATGTTGGAGGTTCTGGTTTATGTTGGAGGCTCTGGTCAACTTTGGAGGTTCTGGTTTATGTTGGAGGCTCTGGTCAACTTTGGAGGCTCTGGTCCATGTTGGAGGCTCTGGTCCATGTTGGAGGCTCTGGTCCATGTTGGAGGCTCTGGTCCATGTTGGAGGTTCTGGTTTATGTTGGAGGTTCTGGTTTATGTTGGAGGCTCTGGTCCATGTTGGAGGCTCTGGTCCATGTTGGAGGCTCTGGTCCATGTTGGAGGCTCTGGTCCATGTTGGAGGCTCTGGTCCATGTTGGAGGTTCTGGTTTATGTTGGAGGTTCTGGTTTATGTTGGAGGCTCTGGTCCATGTTGGAGGCTCTGGTCCATGTTGGAGGCTATGGTCCATGTTGGAGGCTCTGGGCCATGTTGGAGGTTCTGGTTTATGTTGGAGGTTCTGGTTTATGTTGGAGGCTCTGGGCCATGTTGGAGGTTCTGGTTTATGTTGGATGTTCTGGTTTATGTTGGAGGCTCTGGTCCATGTTGGAGGCTCTGGGCCATGTTGGAGGTTCTGGTTTATGTTGGAGGTTCTGGTTTATGTTGGAGGCTCTGGTCCATGTTGGAGGCTCTGGTCCATGTTGGAGGCTCTGGTCCATGTTGGAGGCTCTGGTCCATGTTGGAGGCTCTGGGCCATGTTGGAGGCTCTGGGCCATGTTGGAGGCTCTGGTCCATGTTGGAGGCTCTGGTTTATGTTGGAGGCTCTGGTCCATGTTGGAGGCTCTGGTCCATGTTGGAGGTTCTGGTTTATGTTGGAGGCTCTGGGCCATGTTGGAGGCTCTGGTCCATGTTGGAGGTTCTGGTTTATGTTGGAGGCTCTGGTCCATGTTGGAGGCTCTGGTCCATGTTGGAGGCTCTGGTCCATGTTGGAGGCTCTGGTCCATGTTGGAGGCTCTGGTCCATGTTGGAGGCTCTGGTCCATGTTGGAGGCTCTGGTCCATGTTGGAGGTTCTGGTTTATGTTGGAGGTTCTGGTTTATGTTGGAGGCTCTGGTTTATGTTGGAGGCTCTGGTCCATGTTGGAGGCTCTGGTCCATGTTGGAGGCTCTGGTCCATGTTGGAGGCTCTGGGCCATGTTGGAGGCTCTGGGCCATGTTGGAGGCTCTGGTCCATGTTGGAGGCTCTGGTTTATGTTGGAGGCTCTGGTCCATGTTGGAGGCTCTGGTCCATGTTGGAGGTTCTGGTTTATGTTGGAGGCTCTGGGCCATGTTGGAGGCTCTGGTCCATGTTGGAGGTTCTGGTTTATGTTGGAGGCTCTGGTCCATGTTGGAGGCTCTGGTCCATGTTGGAGGCTCTGGTCCATGTTGGAGGCTCTGGTCCATGTTGGAGGCTCTGGTCCATGTTGGAGGCTCTGGTCCATGTTGGAGGCTCTGGTCCATGTTGGAGGTTCTGGTTTATGTTGGAGGTTCTGGTCCATGTTGGAGGTTGGTGGGAGTATAATTCATAGTAGACCAGGAAGTGTTTGCTTTCCTTTATTGGACATTTTGTCAGCTTGTCTGTTTGCTATATTAACCAATATGATGTGTTGAACTAGATCTGCTATTTTCACAGCTTTTGACCATTATACTTCAGCAATGATGAACTGCACGGCAGCATTCTATACCCAGCTATTTTAGCATCTTTTTTAGCAGGAGGCGATGGAGGAGCAGGGAACGCTCTCATCGCGCACTGCTGCTGCTGATGAAATGATAGAAACAGGATAAAGGAATCTTTCTGGTGGACGTGTTTCTGTTGGGAGGAGCTGACGGAGTCATGAGGAACCAAGCAGGAAGTGACATCAGAGCAGAGCTCTCTAACCCTGAAATCCCTCATCCTCCGTCACCAGCGCTCCTTGGCCTTATCTTTATTTTGAGGATTTGGGGGAAAAAATTAAAGAAAGTTCCCATCCCTGCATCAGAGCTCTACCTGTTGGATCTATGAACGGTTTTCTATGTTTGCAACCAAACTAGCAGCAGCAGTGGAGTTTGGAGATGCAATCCACTTCTTAGATCTATCTTTGCTCTCCTCTAATTCATCCAGAAGTTCTGCCCTTTTTCTCTCCCTCCCAGCTTGGTGGTGGGCTGCATATTCAGCAGCCTTCCCTGGAAATCCCTTTCCACATTTTTATTTTTATTTTTTGCCAACCTCTCATTACCAAGCAAAAATGCAGGCAATCTTTCCGCATTGATAATGAAAGAAAATGATTTGCTCCATCCTTTGAATCCTCTTTTCTCATCAGCTATCTTCCTTTTTTCCCCCTTTGGGATCCATGGAGACACTCCAGCAAGTTATGACCACTGATCTCTATGGCTATGACGCAAATTGTTTAAATATATTTATTATACAAATGTTTACAGCATTGGAAAACATAATTATTTTTTGTTTGACCTCCTGCACACCATATTAAAACAAACAAAGAAAAACAACTCGATTTTCAGAAATTTTTGAAAAAGCTCCATGGAGCCGCAAGGGGAATGCTAAAGAGCCGCATGCGGCTCCGGAGCCGCGGATTGCCGACCCCTGAACTACACTAAAACCTTTTAGATTTTCAGTCGATTAAAACCAAGTAAAACTATTACATATCGTAATGACTAAAATGCGACTAAAAACACTTTTGTCTTGAAGATGAAACTGAGACTAAATCTAAGATGCTGTCAGAAACAACACAGTTCAGCAGCTGAGGGATGACCAGAACCAGGCTGTTTATCAGCTTCTAACAGCAGAACCAGAACAAAGTTCCAGCATCACCTCCTGATGCTCAGCAACAGGCTGGCCGGGACAGAATGAGGAGAGGGACGCTAACAGGAACTAGCATCCGGGCGGCAACACAATCTACTTCCTACATTTCTATGTTTAGAGCAAGAAAAACATGGAAGTGATTTCTGTTTATGTTTCTGATCCAACATGGCGTCCTGGTATTAAACACCTTCTACTGGAACCAGAACAGGATGATGACCCTCGTCCCAGTAAGGCCACTGGTTCGTCCACCTACCAGCTTGGAGTCCAGTTCATGCAGCGGTGCGTCGGAGAAGCAGAAGTGATGGAAGAGGCCCATCTTCTGGTTGAACAGGCAGTGGACAACGTGAGCCCTGGCGTTCTGCCACTTCACCAGACGCACCAAGTCGCGGTTCAGGGCGGCGCCTAGATCCACGGACCAGTTATAGCTGAACAGAGTCACCTGACGGAGAGACACATCTGCATGGTGAACATCTGGGAGACGCAGATGTCCCTCTGCCAGTGGTCCTCCTCACCGTACCCTTTTGTCCTGGATGCTGATGAACAGGAACCTCTGCCTGGGGGCCTGTCCTGCCTCGGCCTGGCTAGGACTGAGGGAGTCGCTCTGCTCCGGGGCCTCGAAGCGCTGGAAGCCTTTCAGAGCTGGGTGGCAGAGACAGGAAGCACAGTGAGGAACAACGCAGACGGATCCAGTGGTCAGTGACCAGAGGCTGGTTCCTGCTCTGAACCAACCACTTCCTGCTTCCTGTAGGAAGGATGCTTCCTGGGAGGCGCTGGATAAGAGCAGGAACCAGATCCAGGACCCTGCCGTTGGTGCCGGTACCGGAACCACCACTGGCCTCTGACATTTCCTGCCTGCACTGGAACTACAGTTTGGTTTGGGCTGAAATTAGCAGCATTAATCTAAGAAAAAAGAATTGGTAGCTAGGAGCCAAACTTACGTGTGAACCTATTTAGCCCTGCGCAGCTTTCCTCATCTGAACTGTCGTCTGCAGCCAAACAGAGGAGGGACAAACAGCAAGGCAAGATGGACAGTGAAACACAGCTGGACACAAACGGATGGAAGCTCATGTTTGCAAAATAACAGCAGGGAGTTAGACAGCTGGCATGGACAGAGAAACACAAACAGCATCAGAGAGGCTCCCTGCGCATCCAAGCAGCACAAACATCTGCATTCATGAGGTAGGAAGCTACACTGGAGACAGATCCTTTGCTCAAAACATCTGGGTGGACACCGAACATCTAAGCTATCATTCAAACTACTTTTCAGGTTCCAGTTTTCACTGCAGGGTTCCAACTGTTGCCTCGCAATGTGTGGGCGGGGCTTAGATGAGCAGGAATGATGACTGACAGCTTAGGTGCAGCAGCTTTACAACCTAAAACATAGAATGTGACTGATGCTTTTCAGACATCCCTAATTTCCTCGCAACCTGAATGCAAAACCAGGGAATACTTGCGCCTGAACTGTCGTCATGGAAGCCCCGCCCCCAAACTGAGAGACACCAGTTTGAAACTGGAAATAAAACATTTTCTGCTCAGTTTCCTTTTTTTTCAGTTAACCCCTCCCCCCAGAGGGGCCCTGCAGTGGACGGCCCCCCAAGGAGAGCCGGCTGCAGAGCTCACCTGGCTCTGTGCAGCAGTGCCACTGGTGGAAGTTTCGTCCAATGAGAATGAAGCTTCGTTTGGCGTCTGGAGGGTGGCTGAGCTGCTGGACCAGGAGGACGGGGACGAACACATCTCCAGAGGGAGAGCTTCAAAAGACACCAGAGAGACGAGGTCAGAGACGGACGGTTAAAACCTTCCACTAGCAGCCGTCCAATCACAGAGCTTCTCACCAGAACCTCCCTAAAGCCCCTCATTCCCACCCTCTCTGTGACCACCAGCACCCACCCAGGCCCCGGCTGCTGGTACAAAGAGTCAGAAACCATTTGGACTCCACCAGAACCCTCAAAACCTGGGAATTCTACTGGAGCCTCTGCTCACCTGGTCCTCTCAAAGGATTTCACAGTGGTGTCAGCGGCCAGAGAGCTGACCAGGTTGGAGATCTCAGTCAGGATGGAGGGCAGCAGGAAGTTGGAGGCAATGCCGGCCGTGCACTGCTGGATGGAGGGGCAGCCTTGGAGCCAGTGATGGAGAGGAGGAAGAGGAAGAGGAGGGCTAAGTGAAGGAAGGAGGGTAAAGTAGCGGTTCTGCAGATCCACAGAAACTCACCAAGTTTGGCCATGAAGCTGATCCATGCCTGGCAGCAGTCCTGGTAGACGTGGTGTAGGGTGCCGGTGTCGCCCTCCTGCAGCTGCCTCCTGAGGAACCAGAACACAGCGGCAGCTGAGGCTCAGAGGACTCTGAGGTTCTGCGGCGGCCCGGTTCCACCAGGACTACTCACCTCTGAGCCTGCTCCAGCTCCGCCGCCCTCTCCTGACTCCACTGCTGCTTCACGTTCTCCGTCTTGTGTCTGCGCCGCGCCGCCCGCCCCTCCTCCTCCCCTTTCTCTTGGATGATGTCATCCGTGGTCTTGGGGATGCCAAGTTCTGCCGAGTCGGGTTTGCTCTGAAGGGAGACGCAGATAGTTCTGCTCACAGGCAGGCCGGACTGGTCGCTTCCAGAACCGATTATCTATCAACAGAGGAGGTTTCTGCTGACGGAACCTAACAGAACTCACCAGTATGTCCCAGAAGCTGCGGCGGGTGCTTTTACTGGTGGGCGTGGTGGACTCTGAGGTGCCGGTACCGGCCAGCGGGTTGCTCCCGGCAGGCTGGGTCAGGTTGATGGGAGAAGGGCCGACCTTGAAGGCCCGTGAGCCGCTGCGCTGCCTGGGGCTGTCCCTGCTTTCTTTCACCTCCGCCAGAGAGGCTCCTGGAAACACGACACCCCATTAACCAGCGGATCATTCCGGTTCTAACAGGCTTTATCTGGACCTGTGGGACGCAGCATCAGGGACCAGGGGGGACGTCCCCACGGCAACAGAAGGGTCTCCTCAGGAGGAGATGGGAGCAGCAGATCTCAGCTTATCATTTTAGACAGGTTTTATTGTTAAATCAACGTGATACTAAAAAGTCAGCGAGTAGAAAAGTATGTCAATGAAACATTTCTGTCTGTCACCTTTAACTTTACCGGCTACCAGCTGTTCAATAACTTTACCCAGAAAAACACAAAAAGCAGGTCAGCTTCTGGAGGGTATGAATACATTTGGACCAAAGCTGAACCAGATCCAGCAGAGAAGCTCTGAAGGTGGGAGAACAGGAACCAGAACCTGTGGCTCCTCCAGGTGGGTCAGTCTGAGCGGGGTCCAGACCACTAGGACCCTCCCTCCTCCCACCCAGCAGCTCTCCCTCTGCAACGGTTCCAATATTTCCCATGATGCCACTCTGTGTGTCGCCGCATCAGCTGGACCGCCAACAGCTGCTGCTACCTGATCGCTCCCTGATTTCATCTCTGAAAGAGGCAGAGAGGCTACATGTGGGGAGCGCAATTAACTTTCTGAAATGGCACCATTTTTATTTCTACGATGAAATATTAGGGCCAGGCTAGAGATTTTTTATTTCAAGAATAAAGTTGTAAAATTACAAGAATAAAGTCATTGTTGGATTAATTGTACAAGTTATTCTACTTTAATCATATTATACTTATACATTCATATTTACACATTTGCATATTCCTGTATACTTGTATTACACAAAGTGTTGAAATGTTTCACTTGCTGTCTTTCTAATGCTTGTTACTAGTGTGTGCAGGAAGCAAGGTCAAGGAGATTGGTGGAAACGGGAGAATTGCACGTACTGGCACCGGATGAGGAGTGAAGCTCTCCTTATCTTATGATATTGTATGATGTGATGCAGAACTTCTGGTTCCGACTGGTTTCACCCCCTCCTCCCTTTTAGCGGTCGGAACCAACATTGTAGCCAGGGAGTTCCTTAATAAAAGCTTGGAGAAAGCGGAAACTGTTTCAGAGTGGGTTGGAGGTTGTAACTGAATGCAGTTTCTGACCCCCTCTCCTTGCAAGTAAATTATACTAAATTCTCTGTGTCTTTCTTTGTATAGGTTACTGAATAAAATGTTTGGTGTTTAAACCTAACATTAATTGGTCCTTCGAGCCGGATTGCAAGATACCCGACGACCCCCAGCAGGTGAGTGAGATCCAGATAAGCCTGCGGCCGCAGCAAACAGACCCTTTACGGGACTGGTCTCTCCCTTACAAGCTGGGGTCCGACGGTTGAAGCATTTCGAGGACGCAGAGAATTGTGAGTAGTTTTTCTTTTAATAAAGAGTGAGTGAATTATTGGAAGAAAAATATATAAAAATATAAAAAATTTATAAAAATATAATAATATAAAAAAAAAAAAAAAGATAGAAGTGAAGGACAGCGAAGTCCTCTCAGTGTGGGATAACGAGATTCCCTTTTGTACTAAAACCCTGACAATTCTAGACTCTATCAGGTAAAATAGAAATTTTAAAACAGTTAAAGTCCGTGGGAGGGCAGGCTCCCCGAGTTGTAAACTAGTTAAATTCTGCGTAGGATGGCGGCGTCCTCTGTGTTTAAAATAAAGTAAAAGTTAACAGCGCAGTGTGTGTGTGTGAGTGTGTGTGTGAAAGGAAATATAGATATCACTAGATATCTGTATTTCATACTAAAAAGACAAGGGTTAAATGGTGAGCTTTTGTGGATGTTTGTAGACAAGAAAACTCCACCTGTAAAGGTTGAAGTGAGTTTTACCACAAAAAGTAGTTGATCACCATCTTGTCTGAAGCCCCAGTGTTTAGAACACGACAGGTGTTAAAAACCCACTGGGCCCAAATTTAGTTCAAAATGGGAAAAGGGCAAAGTAAAGAAAAACAGAAGTTATTAGAGAAACTCTAGTGCAAAGATTGGAAAGCAGTCGAAAATGATGACCCATCAGCGGTAGAGCCGTTGTGTTACTGGATAAAAAACTACGGTTTTAATGGCAAATTGAGCACCACAAACATTAAAGAATTGCAACAAAAAATAAAAACAAAAAGCAAAAATAAAGACACTTTGATGGCAAAAGAAGGTTACATGCAAACCATGGTCTGGATGAAATTAGCAGGTCAGAGAGAAGAGGGAAAGCGTAGAGTTAAGAGAGAGAGAGAGGAGAGACAAAGAAAAGCAGTAGAAGGAATTCCCTCTCCAAAGAAGGATGTGGAAGAATGTGTAATTCAAGAATGGGTAAATCGTCACCACATAGAGATGAGTGGTGCAACACTCCAAAAGTATATAAATCACACCCTGCATGCAGAGAAAGTCATAAAAAGTAAAAAGAATCACAATAAAGAATCCACTGTGTTTTATCAGCAGTCCAGAGGTAGGGGCCGAGGCAGAGGCCGAGGCCGTGGAAGGGGAAGAGGTTTTGGATCACGCTCAACTGATAATTCCAGAGCGTGTTGGTCATGTGGGAAAGGAGGCCACATGGCTAGAGATTGTCGAAGCAACCCACAAAATGCAGGAAGCTCAGCATGACTAGATGAGCAACCATTTTCTATTAGAGAGATAGAGGGTGAAAATATGGATGTCTTAAACCTAGAAGATTTGTTTTTTAAAAGAAAAATATAGACCAGAAAAAGTTCTGATGGTCCAGGGCACTCCTGTTAAATTTTGTGTGATACAGGAGCCTGCAGAACCACAATAAAAGAACCCATACCCTTGCACATACCCATCGTAAAGATGATTTACCTGTAGGTCCATATTCAGCATTATTACAGCAAGCACAAGCAGCTTTACAGCAAGACCCAAATGAACTTGGTGCTGCTGCTGCTTCTGCTTCAGCCCCAGTCTTGCCAGCTCCTAAAGTTGAGAGTCCACCGGCTTATTCTCCTATGCCCAGTGTTTCCTTTAATTGAGCTGCCAAATCCTTTGGCGGGTCAGGGGCCAGCTGAAAATCCATTTTTTCCTGTCATGATGGTCTATAGGCAGGGGCGGATTTAGGAAATTTGGGGCCCTGGGCATGGATGGGCAGGGGGCCCCCTGACAAGAAAACCTATAAAACAGTCCCATTCTACAGATAGAGAAATGTTAATAGAATAGACATTAATTATTTGTTCTAGGTTTAGTCCCTCTCTTCTTGTCCCTTTTTCCTCTATATTTATCAGCCTTCTGATGGCATTTTAGCAAAAGCATTTTTATTAAAAACATAATTAATATGCACAAATAAGGATTAGTTGTATTAACTATACATGTGAATAGCACCCCAACAGTTTTCCTGTGTGACAGTGGTGCATGCAGAACAACTGTTAAACAACAAATTCCAGGTGCTGACCAAGGACCTGAGACTGTCATAGTCCGATCAGCTCAAGGTCATTTAAAGGCTGTGCAGGAGATCCAGCTTGTGTGGTTGAGAAACCCTGAAGGACTCTCCTGCCGGCTGTCTGTACTGACTTTACCTGAATGTCCAGTTAACCTCTTAGGCAGGGATGCTCTAGCCATGCTTTGCTTAGATAGAGGCTGGGCATCCCACATTACCATTACACTCTGGACTTTCCCAACAAACCTCCTTTAAACATCGGAGAAGCGCTGCTTCAGGAGGGAAGACAGTCTGTTCGAATTGTACAGCAGTCCATGGACCCGAATGACCTACATATTACCATGTGGTACAAAGACTCTCCAGGTCCTGATAAAGACTATAAAAAACTTAATTGGATAAATAATAAAAAAAAAAAAAAAAAAAAAAAAAAAAAAAAAGGGGCGCTGCAATGAAGGATGGCACCCGAGGGCGTAGGTTTGATTTGAACTTTGGAAGGGACACTATTGGTCTGGTGTCATTGGTACTATGCATTATGCATGCCTTTTTTTTTTTTTTTTTTATGCTTGACATGAGCATTAGTACTGATGAGAGGAATTCGTTGTTTAAAGAGAAAAGGAGCATTTTGCTACATAATAAACATTTTTAAACACTACACTTACTAGATGCTGTTTATCAATGTTGAAGTATCACCGGCTCTGATGAATGTGGAATTAGGACTGTTTTCCACTTTGTAAATGATTTTAATTGAACAACTGAGACAGACGGTAAATACAGTACTTTCTTCTAAATATATAGAATCGTGCAGAGTTAAACCCCACTCTTATATTTTTACCTACTATGCTCTCTCTGTATCAAGCAAAATAATACATTCATTAAAATAATAACTTCACTATGAAGTTGAACATCTGGGCTGTAGTTACTCTGTGTTGCCCATCTCATGTATTTTATCTGTGGCTGAAAACATGAATCATATTAATTGATTATTTGCATATTCGTAAACAAATTTAGTGATTCATCATTAAATGGAGTATAGAGACTCTAAAACATAATATACATGTAAAATCTGGCTTTCCCCGACAGAGTAACCCACTTGGATCAGTAATCATACCAAAACTGTGAGATAAATTTATAAACATTTTGCAAATACGATTATAAAATGTTTTTGTCTGTCAATACTTTCCGTCCGGAGCTCTTCAGGAGGAGATGTTTTGGTTTCACCTGGTTTAATGTCATTAGTAATCTTCTTTACAGAACTTTTGGCTAACCAATTAATCGAAAGAATTAACGATAGACTGATCGATTTACAAAATAATTGTTAGTTGCTGTCCTAATTTCATCGTAACATTGTACCGTATTAAACATAACATTTCTTATTAAAAACATGTGAAGTGGGGATGCCATTCAACGAAACAAACATGTTAATCAGCCAAACTATCTTAAAATCCATGATGGCACCTATATGTGACCAGAAAATAAACCAATCCTTCCAAATAAAAAAAAAATAAATAAAAAAATGCTGCTATATTGAGTCATGATTTTACTCATGTCTCAAACGGGGGGATTGTAGGATTGATTGAGCATTGAGCATCATTATACAGCATATGGATTTATATTCTATGCAAAAAAAAAAACTTTTGTAAAGCATGTCTAATATGTGCTAAACATAATCTTCAAGGAAATTTAAGACCTAAAAAAGGTGCTTTCCCTAAACCTATTTATCCTTTCAATTCTGTTTGGTTATAATAGATTTGTTTTCTAAATGGATTGCAAGAAAGTGATAGTTAGATCAGATGAGTAATAAGTAAAATCACCTTCTTAATTATTCTCTGGAACCTTACCATACTGCTTAGCACTCTAGTAATTCTACTGTGGTACTTGTTATAGAATACACATTTGGTCTCCTTCACCGACCTTCAGAGGAAGTCCGTCGTACAAAGGGGGTTGTATTTTTTAGCATACAACCATCTCAAACTGGTGAAGGTTCAACAACTCTGCCGAGAGGTCATAGGAAGTAGACCATTGTGTAAAAAGATTATCCATAGAACACTTTTTGAAGTTTGAACCTAGATGATGTTGCGATTATTCATATTAGTTTTGTCTTTAGCTCTCACTCAGGGCAAGGATTCTTGTTGCCCTCATGATCCAGTTATTTGTAAAAGGGACGTCTATCTCTGCTATAACTCTACTACAGTAATCAGTTTGGTGACTATTCCTTTTCAAACATTCTCGCAAAGATTTAAACATGACCCGGGAAATTGGCACGGTTATGATTTCTACCTATTTCCTCGCGTAGTTCAAAGAACTCATAATGGTTGGGGAGACGTATTTAGAACCACTGGACAGTGGAAAAAGGGATCGTATGGATGGACACCTTTAGCTAAGAAATGGATGAGTAGAATATCAGGGTTCACTGTTAACCATGCCTCCAAAGTTTTCACTCTGACAATAAACTCCACAGCAGAACCCCTTGAGAAGGAAGGCTGTTCTTCCTCATTTCTATGTGCACGGTCTAGTGGAACCGATCCATGTTGGCCTTTGTATTTGTGCCCCGTAAATATTACACAAGAAGGAGATGAGATACAAGGGATTCTTACTTCTGCCCAAGGTGAACAGATAAAAATTCAAAATATTAATGGTCCGCTTAAAACAGATGAATTGTTTCAAGTCATCACTGGAATCTCTGGGCAAACAAACAACTGGCTTTTAATGGCAGAACAAGCAGCTAAAACAGTGTCTAATGATTGTCTTGTGTGTATGGGAGCCAGACCGGTGTTATGTGTGGTTCCTGCCACCATAACTCCTCAATGTCTTCTAAATATAATGAATTATACAGTCCCAACTGATAATTGCACCTATTGGGATAAGATCTATCCCCTGACCACAACTGAGAAAAAGAAACCGATCTTTTTGAAAAAAGTAGCTGTGGCAAATTTCACCTGTGTAAACAGGACCGGAGCGGGCCCGAAACTAGGCACACTAAATGAAACACAATGTGCAAGTATTTTACTGGTATCCACCTTTTTTAAACCTCAATTCCGCAGCGACATCTGGTGGTGGTGTGGAGATAAAAAATTGTTTGACAAACTTCCATGTAACACCACTGGATTATGTGCTGCTGTCACCTTGATTTTACCTGTTTCTGTTACATCACTCACAACGGATGAATTATTGACAACTGCAAACAGCATTTTACCTCACACAGAGCATACTAGAAGGAGGAGGGCATCTGAAAATGCATGGAGTGGAGATGACCCTACTTATATTGATAGCATTGGTGTACCCAGAGGTGTTCCTGATGAGTATAAACTAGCCAATCAAGTTTCTGCAGGATTTGAATCTTTCTTATGCTGGTGGTGTAAATAAAAATGTAGACAGAATCAACTACATCCATTATAACGTCCAGAGGCTGGGAAATAAAACAGAACAAGGCTTCTCCGCCGTCCATGAACAATTGTCAGCTACCTCTCTGATGGCTTTCCAGAACCGTATTGCTGTTGACATGTTGTTAGCTGAAAAAGGTGGTGTGTGCTCTATTTTTGGAGATCAGTGTTGCACCTTTATTCCCAACAACACTGCTGCTGATGGCAGCCTCACAAAGGCCCTTGAAGGCCTTCGCTCTCTTAACAGCAAAATGAAAGACCATTCTGGAGTTGACACAAAAATGTGGGATGGATCTGGAGACATTTTTGGTAAATACAAGCAATTGGTGCTTTCTATTTTAATGTCTATAGCTGTATTTGCCGCCATCTTGACCTTATGTGGATGTTGTTGTATTCCATGTGTTAGAGCGCTGCTAAATAGACTAATTACCACAGCATTACAACCCATGAAAGCAGAAATGTATGCCCTCATGCCCACTGAAAAATACCCATCTGATGATGAAGACAGCGCAGAGGATGAAATCTCTTTGCATTTTCCTGACTTTTATCCTAATTCCAATGACATAAACCCACCAGTTTAAAGTACCTCTGAGTGTACCCTTTACAGCTAAAACATGATTTCATAGTTGAAAATCTGAAAAGAAGTAACTACTGAATGATAAAATAAATAGCTTAAAGTGAATAAACAGGAGGGAAATGTTGGATTAATTGTACAAGTTATTCTACTTTAATCATATTATACTTATACATTCATATTTACACATTTGCAAATTCCTGTATACTTGTATTACACAAAGTGTTGAAATGTTTCACTTGCTGTCTTTCTAATGCTTGTTACTAGTGTGTGCAGGAAGCAAGGTCAGGAGATTGGTGGAAAGGGGAGAATTGCACGTACTGGCACCGGATGAGGAGTGAAGCTCTCCCTATCTTATGATATTGTATGATGTGATGCAAAACTTCTGGTTCCGACTGGTTTCACCCCTCCTCCCTTTTAGCGGTCGGAACCAACCAACCAGCTCCACCAATCAGCAACCAGAGTCCACTTTGACATCCTGCCCAGTTTGATGATTTTTTTATTTGTGAAACCGAAGCCAAAGTAAAACTTCACATGATCCTCGACACACCTTCATTCCTGTAATGTTACAACTGTATTGTTGTAACATTATAACTTTTTTTCTCGTAATGTTACGACTTTATTCTCGTAATATTACGACTTTATATTTTTTTGCCTGGCCCTAACACGCCGTGGTTTTAAAGTGAAAACGGGTAATATTTCCTGTTTGTGTTTTATCATGTGGGGGTCACCTGCCAGCTGTTTGCACTATGTAGAGAACATAAGGTTGTCCTCAAACTGGAGCCAATGGAGACTTCGATCCAATCTGGTTTTAACCTGTAAACCTTGTTAGCTGCGCCGCTAAAAATCATCAAACCAATAAAATGGTAAAGGTGTCTCCTGTTTGTCATCATCTGATGTTTTCTGGACTAATAACTATGACGATGGGACCAATTCCTTCTTGAACCATAAAATTGTTTTTTTTTCCCTGTTCTTCAGGTTCTTCTGCACAGCTTTCAGCTCCTCTTTGTTTTCTGATCTGAAGGCTCTCTTTTTATCATGTGTAAAGCTTTTGGATCAAGGTTGATCCAGGGCCTCAGATAGAGAAAGGCCATGTGTTCTGCGGGGAACCACCGCTATGTGAACACCTGTTAGCGTGGTCCATGATGTTGCCTGAGACATCGTGGACCACGCTAACAGCTCTAATCTGTTACTGCAGAGCATCCATATTTATGTGTGTCCACAGTTAGCATGGTTAGCCGTGGCTCAGTTAGCATAACCCAGCTGCTGTAGCCTGGTTTGTGCTGCCAATCCACCCACCCTGAAGGGACCTGAGCTCACATCTGTGATGGTGATGGACAGGAGGATGGATGGCTACCCTCACCTGTTCTAGAGCTCAGGCTGGGGGGATCCATGGCATCTGTGGGACTGTGGAGGAGTGGTTAATGAACAGCTGATCTCAGGTCGGAAAGTTGACATATTTTAGCCAATTAGAACACAGAGATTATCTGCTCAAATGGCTCCAAAAGCACAAACCAGACAAAAAGAATAAAACCTCCGATCTGTGAGCGTCTGCTAAAGGATCAGTGGCAGCGTCTCCAACTGCAAACATGTCTGATGAAATCTGGAGGCTGATTTCTATAGAAATGATTACCTTTAGTTTCTTCTCTCTGGACACCAACACAGAGAGGATTGGGAAGGACCCTAAGCTCCATGATGGCGTCACAGAGCGCATGGCGCAGCGCCCCCTGCAGTTTATTGCTCAGCTGTAAGGGGCTGATGTTCCCTTGTTCCCAAATGTCAAAGCGCACATAAAGCTGGGCTGGGGAGAGAGACCAAGCAGAGGGGTGGTGACTTTCAAAGCAAGCAAAATAAAGATACTGGCACGTATGTTAGACTACTGCTGCGCATGGTTTACTACCGCACAACAAAATCACACATGCACAAGGAACCGCACCGAGAGGAGAAAATCGCTCTGCGGGAGCGCCGGCTCCTCCCACGCTGAGAATCTCACCGCACACAAGATTAGCTATCCAGCCGCCACACTTGAGGACAGCGGCAATATCGAAAGCATCTCTACCCTGAGACTGATTTTCTCCTTGTGTGAGGGAAAAAGTGTTTTGACAGCTTGGGTGTAGTCAAACCTCTTGTGATGCTACGATCGCACCTAAAGCAGCTGAACATGCGCTTCACAAGCAGCAGCTGCTGGAGTTGGAAAAATTTAACTTTAGCTGCTGGACGCGCCGCATCAACCAATCAGAGCAGCTGATCTGGGAGCTGACAGGGAGTCAGACACAGCACTGCTGATGCAGAGCGCTATGATCACTCCTCTAAAGTACCTGCCGGTAAAATATTATTATTATTCTGGTGCCTTAGTTTGGATTACATACGTAAAAAACGCTAACATCTACTTCCAGCCGCTGTGAACACTAGCGGAAAAACGCGATGAAGCGCCCGGGCCAGAGGCTGCTGTTGAACTGGATTCCCAGTGACAGCGCAGCGCCGGTATGTGGGGGTCTGAGCGGCTCCCACAGAGAAATAATCTTTGAAGGCAGGATGGTAATCTGGATGAACTGACTGCACAGACCATGTTTTCAGGAGGACTTTCTCACTTCAACATAGATTCTAACTACTTTTTACCTCCTGATCACAGCTGCTCCTGCTGTGTGCGGTCTGAGCGTAGCATTAGTCTTCTCCTGATTGGACCTTGCAGACAGGATCACATGGGAAGAAGGATCAGGAAGCCATTGACTGACGCTTACCACCTATGTACCGCAAACTTTGGAGAAGCCTCCGCCACTGTCAGTCAAAGACTTCCTGACACTACTTCCTATGTGATCGTGTCTGGAAGGCCCAATCAGGAGGCCGCTGGATAGAAAATCGTGCAAGCTGTGAGATCCCGAGCACAATGCAGAGCGTGCCTGGGAGGAGCTGCCGTGCGGAGAACGATTTTCTCCTCTTAAAGCGGCAGTTTCTCGTACATGTCTGATTTTGTGGTACGGTGGTAAATAAACCATAAGCAGAAATAGTTTAGCATACATGCCAGTATGCTTATTTTGCTCGTGGGCGTTTTGAAATAAATGTGATGCCATAGAAAAGAATCTTCTGTCCAGAGTTCTGTCCTGAAACCAGTCAATGTGGGTTCGGTACCTGATCTGGAGCTGATGTTTTCTGCTTTCATCACAGTCGTCAGCTCCTCAAAATGTTCAGGGTGGAAAGGAATGGGGCAGGGCTCACTTCTGGGCGTGGGGGGGCTGCTCTGAGCTGCAGCCTGGAGGGCTTGCCCTTCAGCATCCACAAAGGACAATGCAATGCAGGCAATACCTAGAAGAGAAGATGGGAAATGATCTCACTGATTCAGCCCAGAGAAACCCACAGGCCAGAAAACATTACATTGATTCTCTATGTTTCACCTGTTGAAAATAAAAGAAGTATAAGGAGGAATGAACACAGCAGTCAGATTATTTAAGGAAAGTAATTGTTTGGGGGAGTGGTGGCCTAACGGTTAGGGCATAGAGCTTGGAATCCAGAGGTTCTGAGTCCGAGCCCCACTCCGACAGACTGCCACTCTGGGTCTCTGAGCCAGCCATTTCAGACCCGTCGGACCGATCCATTTCAGACCGGTCGGACCGATCCATTTCAGACCGGTCGGACCGATCCATTTCAGACCGGTCGGACCGATCCATTTCAGACCGGTCGGACTGATCCATTTCAGAACGGTCGGACTGATCCATTTCAGACCCGTCGGACCGATCCATTTCACACCCGTCGGACTGATCCATTTCAGAACGGTCGGACTGATCCATTTCAGACCCGTCGGACCGATCCATTTCACACCCGTCGGACCGATCCATTTCAGAATTTTCTAATGGTTTATTGCTGCTCATAGCTGGAACTTCAGGCTCTAAGAACCAGTGATCTGTTCAACTCGCATTGATGGGCTTTCTGCTGGGTCCATGATGGGACTCCACAGTGTGAAGGAAAGAGCACCACTGAGCCCAGAATTCATCCTCCATGGGAGCGTTATGCAAGCCAATACCAGTCCAGAATGAGCTAAAGTTAAAACCTGGGGGGCTCAAAGCTAACCTGTAAACCTGGATGGTTCAAAGCTAACCTGTAAACCTAGAGGGTTCAAAGCTAACCTGTAAACCTAGAGGGGTCAAAGCTAACCTGTAAACCTGGATGGTTCAAAGCTAACCTGTAAACCTGGATGGTTCAAAGCTAACCTGTAAACCTAGAGGGTTCAAATCTAACCTGTAAACCTAGAGGGGTCAAAGCTAACCTGTAAACCTAGAGGGTTCAAATCTAACCTGTAAACCTAGAGGGGTCAAAGCTAACCTGGAAACCTAGAGGGTTCAAATCTAACCTGTAAACCTAGAGGGGTCAAAGCCAACCTGTAGACCTAGAGGGTTCAAAGCTAACCTGTAAACCTTGATGGTTCAAAGCCAACCTGTAGACCTAGAGGGTTCAAAGCTAACCTGTAAACCTTGATGGTTCAAAGCTAACCTGTAAACCTAGATGGTTCAAATCTAACCTGTAAACCTAGAGGGTTCAAAGCTAACCTGTAAACCTGGATGGTTCAAAGCTAACCTGTAAACCTGGATGGTTCAAAGCTAACCTGTAAACCTAGAGGGTTCAAAGCTAACCTGTAAACCTGGATGGTTCAAAGCTAACCTGTAAACCTGGATGGTTCAAAGCTAACCTGTAAACCTAGAGGGTTCAAATCTAACCTGTAAACCTGGAGGGTTCAAAGCTAACCTGTAAACCTGGATGGTTCAAAGCTAACCTGTAAACCTGGATGGTTCAAAGCTAACCTGTAAACCTGGATGGTTCAAAGCTAACCTGTAAACCTGGATGGTTCAAAGCTAACCTGTAAACCTGGATGGTTCAAAGCTAACCTGTAAACCTAGAGGGTTCAAAGCTAACCTGTAAACCTGGATGGTTCAAAGCTAACCTGTAAACCTAGAGGGTTCAAAGCTAACCTGTAAACCTGGATGGTTCAAAGCTAACCTGTAAACCTAGAGGGTTCAAAGCTAACCTGTAAACCTGGATGGTTCAAAGCTAACCTGTATTCCTAGAGGGTTCAAAGCTAACCTGTAAACCTGGATGGTTCAAAGCTAACCTGTAAACCTAGAGGGTTCAAATCTAATCTGTAAACCTAGAGGAATCAAAGCTAACCTGTAAACCTGGATGGTTCAAAGCTAACCTGTAAACCTAGAGGGTTCAAAGCTAACCTGTAAACCTGGATGGTTCAAAGCTAACCTGTAAACCTAGAGGGTTCAAAGCTAACCTGTAAACCTGGATGGTTCAAAGCTAACCTGTAATCCTAGAGGGTTCAAAGCTAACCTGTAAACCTGGATGGTTCAAAGCTAACCTGTAAACCTAGAGGGTTCAAATCTAATCTGTAAACCTAGAGGAATCAAAGCTAACCTGTAAACCTGGATGGTTCAAAGCTAACCTGTAAACCTAGAGGGTTCAAATCTAACCTGTAAACCTAGAGGGTTCAAAGCTAACCTGTAAACCTGGATGGTTCAAAGCTAACCTGTAAACCTAGAGGGTTCAAAGCTAACCTGTAAACCTGGATGGTTCAAAGCTAACCTGTAAACCTAGAGGGTTCAAATCTAACCTGTAAACCTGGATGGTTCAAAGCTAACCTGTAAACCTAGAGGGTTCAAATCTAACCTGTAAACCTAGAGGGGTTCAAAGCTAACCTGTAAACCTAGAGGGTTCAAATCTAACCTGTAAACCTGGATGGTTCAAAGCTAACCTGTAAACCTAGAGGGGTCAAAGCTAGTTGAAACAGTTTGAAGCTAATTTGGTCAAGTTGGGTTGGCCCTGCACCAGCTAAAGGTTGGAGAAGATAAACAGAAATTGAACATCATTTATATAACAATGGAAAAATTCAATACCGCATCTTAACCAATCCCCTTGGGGTGCAATGGGCTGCCATTGTGCGATGCCTGGGGAGCAGTCAAGGGTTAAGGGTCTTGCCCAGGGACCCAGAGTGTAGGCCAGTGGTTCCCAAAGTGTGGGGCGTAATGCCATTGCAGGGTGGGCGCGGGAAGTGAATGAAGGAAAAAAAAAAAAAAAAAAAGACAGTACTTGCTTGACTGAGCACAATGGACAGTTGTGACACTGCAACCCAGATTTGAGAAGATCTGCAGGAACAAGCAGGCTCACTACAGCCACTGAAAAGATGGGAGGATTAAAGTACAAAGAAAAAAACTCTCAGGGAGCTGTTCAATGTTTTCACTCCATTTTGCACAGAGGCTTTTTTAATGTATTGATGATAGCAGAGTTAAATATTGTTACAAATAAAAAAAAAATAAACAAATATGTTTAAAATAACACAGACAACAAAGAATCCTCTTCTAATCTACAGTATAGAACTATTAAAAAATACAGTTACACAAAAGTGTTCCACTGTAAAGATGGTGTGTAGTTGTTTTGTTGCAACCTGAAGTATGAAATAAACTTCAGTGGAGTTTGAAAACAGTTGATTTTTTTTTTTTTTGGGGGGGGCGAAATTTTATTGTCATTCAAAGGGGGCCCATAAGAAAATCTTTGGGAACCACTGGTGTAGGCAATAGGGGTTGAACGGGGTACTCGCAACCTTCTCAGAGTGCAGCTCTCCCCACTAGGCCACCGCTAAACTAAACAGAAGAAGAAAGGGCTCCTGGTTGCTATGGCAACGTGTGCTGCTCATCAGGTCATAACGGGCATCTTACCCTTTCCTCCTGTGCCCTGGCCTCCAGGCTTGTTGTAGAGGTATATATCAGAGTCAGCCGAGTCGCCACTCAGAGGAAAGTAATGCTGCAACACAACACAAGCAGAGACAACCCTTTAGGCTCCGCCCACAAAGATCAGCCTGGAAAACACATTATCGGGGGGGCTTGAGGTTATTGATAATAGTCATCATGGTTTTCATAAAGGGAAACCATGTTTCCAATCAAGAACTTCCAGAAAACCGTGAACCAGAAAGGTTCATGCACTCACTACTGAGGAAAGGTTCACAACCTCGGCTGGAAAACTATCACTATTCAGTTTCTTATCCTTATTTGTACTGCAGCTGTACAGGAGGAACTGTTCCATCAAAACTGATTTTCTGTTTGGACATCAGGGAGGAGGTTTACCCAGATACGTGCAGATGTACCTTGAAGTGATGTGCTGTGTTGCTGTCAGTATACTTGGGTACATGCAGGAAGATCAGGAGGTTCTGCCTGAGGTAGTGGGCTATGGTAGACAGCCAGGAGAGGCAGTACTGTGGCAGGACGAAGGTCATTATCCCAGTGGCAGGCGATCCTGAGGGCTGGATAAACTAACCAAACAACATTAGGAAACATTGTCAAGCTGCAGCAGCAGAGGACAGATGGCGGTCGTAGGACAGTAGAAGTCCCAGATTACCTCCACATCAGCAGGAGTCAGCTTACAGTTCCGAACCAGCATGACTGTGATAATGTCCAAGGTGGTTTCATCCAGACGCTTCCGAAGCAACTTGACCAGCTCATCTGTGATCTCTGGACCTAACAGAAAGAACATCACCGAGGTTGACTTCAACAAACACAACCATTTTATTCTTAATAATAATTTCGCCATCCCTATCTTTGATCAAAACAACACTGCAATGGACCGGGGTTTTATAACGCCTAGACCAGTGGACTGGCGTTCTATAACGACTAGACCAGTGGACCGGCGTTCTATAACGACTAGACCAGTGGACCGGCGTTCTATAACGACTAGACCAGTGGACCGGCGTTCTATAACGACTAGACCAGTGGACCGGCGTTCTATAACGACTAGACCAGTGGACCGGCGTTCTATAACGACTAGACCAGTGGACCGGCGTTCTATAACGACTAGACCAGTGGACAAGCGTTCTATAACGACTAGACCAGTGGACAAGCGTTCTATAACGACTAGACCAGTGGACCGGGTTCTATGACGACTAGACCAGTGGACCGGCGTTCTATAACGACTAGACCAGTGGACCGGCGTTCTATAACGATTAGACCAGTGGACGGGCGTTCTATAACAACTAGACCAGTGGACCGGCGTTCTATAACGACTAGACCAGTGGACCGGCGTTCTATAACGACTAGACCAGTGGACCAGCGTTCTATAACGACTAGACCAGTGGACAAGCATTCTATGACGACTAGACCAGTGGACCGGCGTTCTATAACGACTAGACCAGTGGACCGGCGTTCTATAACGACTAGAACAGTGGACCGGCGTTCTATAACGACTAGACCAGTGGACCGGCGTTCTATAACGACTAGACCAGTGGACCAGCGTTCTATAACGACTAGACCAGTGGACCGGCGTTCTATAACGACTAGAACAGTGGACCGGCGTTCTATAACGACTAGACCAGTGGACCAGCGTTCTATAACGACTAGACCAGTGGACCGGCGTTCTATAACGACTAGAACAGTGGACCGGCGTTCTATAACGACTAGAACAGTGGACCGGCCTTCTATAACGCCTAGACCAGTGGACCGGCGTTCTATAACGCCTAGACCAGTGGACCGGCGTTCTATAACGACTAGACCAGTGGACCGGCGTTCTATAACGACTAGACCAGTGGACCGGCGTTCTATAACGACTAGACCAGTGGACAAGCGTTCTATAACGACTAGACCAGTGGACAAGCGTTCTATAACGACTAGACCAGTGGACCGGCGTTCTATGACGACTAGACCAGTGGACCGGCGTTCTATAACGACTAGACCAGTGGACCGGCGTTCTATAACGATTAGACCAGTGGACGGGCGTTCTATAACAACTAGACCAGTGGACCGGCGTTCTATAACGACTAGACCAGTGGACCGGCGTTCTATAACGACTAGACCAGTGGACCAGCGTTCTATAACGACTAGACCAGTGGACAAGCATTCTATGACGACTAGACCAGTGGACCGGCGTTCTATAACGACTAGACCAGTGGACCGGCGTTCTATAACGACTAGAACAGTGGACCGGCGTTCTATAACGACTAGACCAGTGGACCGGCGTTCTATAACGACTAGACCAGTGGACCGGCGTTCTATAACGACTAGACCAGTGGACCGGCGTTCTATAACGACTAGACCAGTGGACCGGCGTTCTATAACGACTAGACCAGTGGACCGGCGTTCTATAACGACTAGAACAGTGGACCGGCCTTCTATAACACCTAGACCAGTGGACCGGCGTTCTATAACGCCTAGACCAGTGGACCGGCGTTCTATAACGACTAGACCAGTGGACCGGCGTTCTATAACGACTAGACCAGTGGACCGGCGTTCTATAACGACTAGACCAGTGGACCGGCGTTCTATAACGACTAGACCAGTGGACCAGCGTTCTATGACGACTAGACCAGTGGACCGGCGTTCTATGACGACTAGACCAGAGGACCGGCGTTCTATAACGATCAGACCAGTGGACCGGCGTTCTATAACGACTAGACCAGTGGACCGGCGTTCTATAAGGACTAGACCAGTGGACCGGCGTTCGATAACGACTAGACCAGTGGACCGGCGTTCTATAACGACTAGACCAGTGGTCCAGCGTTCTAAAATGACTAGACCAGTGGACCAGCGTTCTATGACGACTAGACCAGAGGACCAGCGTTCTAAAATGACTAGACCAGTGGACCAGCGTTCTATGACGACTAGACCAGAGGACCAGCGTTCTAAAATGACTAGACCAGTGGACCAGCGTTCTATGACGACTAGACCAGTGGACCAGCGTTCTATGACGACTAGACCAGTGGACCAGCGTTCTAAAACGACTAGACCAGTGGACCAGCGTTCTATAACGACTAGACCAGTGGACCAGCGTTCTATAACAACTAGACCAGTTGACCAGCGTTCTATGACGACTAGACCAGTGGACCAGCGTTCTATAACGATCAGACCAGTGGACCGGCGTTCTATAACGACTAGACCAGTGGACCAGCGTTCTATAACGACTAGACCAGTGGACCAGCGTTCTATAACAACTAGACCAGTGGACCAGCGTTCTATAACGATCAGACCAGTGGACCGGCGTTCTATAACGACTAGACCAGTGGACCGGCGTTCTATAACGACTAGACCAGTGGACCGGCGTTCTATAACGCCTAGACCAGTGGACCGGCGTTCTATAACGACTAGACCAGTGGACCGGCGTTCTATAACGACTAGACCAGTGGACCAGCGTTCTATAACGAGTAGACCAGTGGACCAGCGTTCTAAAATGACTAGACCAGTGGACCAGCGTTCTATGACGACTAGACCAGAGGACCAGCGTTCTAAAATGACTAGACCAGTGGACCAGCGTTCTATGACGACTAGACCAGAGGACCAGCGTTCTAAAATGACTAGACCAGTGGACCGGCGTTCTATAACGACTAGACCAGTGGACCAGCGTTCTATGACGACTAGACCAGTGGACCAGCGTTCTATGACGACTAGACCAGTGGACCAGCGTTCTATGACGACTAGACCAGTGGACCAGCGTTCTATAACGATCAGACCAGTGGACCGGTGTTCTATAACGACTAGACCAGTGGACCGGCGTTCTATAACGACTAGACCAGTGGACCGGCGTTCTATAACGCCTAGACCAGTGGACCGGCGTTCTATAACGACTAGACCAGTGGACCAGCGTTCTATAACGAGTAGACCAGTGGACCAGCGTTCTAAAATGACTAGACCAGTGGACCAGCGTTCTATGACGACTAGACAAGAGGACCAGCGTTCTAAAATGACTAGACCAGTGGACCAGCGTTCTATGACGACTAGACCAGAGGACCAGCGTTCTAAAATGACTAGACCAGTGGACCTGCGTTCTATAACGACTAGACCAGTGGACCAGCGTTCTATAACGACTAGACCAGTGGACCACCGTTCTATGACGACTAGACCATTGGACCAGCGTTCTATAACGATCAGACCAGTGGACCGGCGTTCTATAACGACTAGACCAGTGGACCGGCGTTCTATAACGACTAGACCAGTGGACCAGCGTTCTATAACGACTAGACCAGTGGACCGGCGTTCTATAACGACTAGACCAGTGGACCGGCGTTCTATAACGACTAGACCAGTGGACCAGCGTTCTAAAATGACTAGACCAGTGGACCAGCGTTCTATGACGACTAGACCAGAGGACCAGCGTTCTATAACGATCAGACCAGTGGACCGGCGTTATATAACGACTAGACCAGTGGACCAGCGTTCTATAACGACTAGACCAGTGGACCGGCGTTCTATAACGACTAGACCAGTGGACCAGCGTTCTATAACGACTAGACCAGTGGACCAGCGTTCTAAAATGACTAGACCAGTGGACCAGCGTTCTATGACGACTAGACCAGTGGACCAGCGTTCTAAAATGACTAGACCAGTGGACCAGCGTTCTCCACAGGACCAGTACAGTTGGAGAGAAAAGTTGCCGCTTCACATTATGAGGGATGTTTAAGATGTTCTGAGAACATCACAGGCTGCATGAGGACAGAGACATGTTGGGAATTCCAACCACTTCACACCCACTAGTGTCGTCCATATCAAATTTAAAACCCAAAACCTCTCAGGACTTTCAAGGATGGGGTTTTTTTGTGGCTGCTTTCTAAACCCTTCCAGGACCTTGAACTTTATTTTTTCAACTGACAAAATTTCGAGGACTTATTCATGTCGATGTCTTTTCCCTCACCTGCATTCCCCACTCCATGCACCAGCAGCAGGATGTGCTTGTCCACCTGTCCTACTGGACGGGAGCCTTCAATTGAAGATCTGGGGCCCTGAAGAGAAAAAACAACATTTCTGTTTCATTATCCTTCCTTCACTTCAGAACAAACTCTGTACATCCCCCCCCACACACAAGGAACACATGTTTTCCAGGTGCTCACCATCTGGTCTTCAGGATTAACAGGTTCCTGGCTTCTAACCAGCCCCAAGGGCCGGGGGGGCATATGAAGGTTTCCATCCAGGTCAGGGTATCTGCTCGTCAGTGAGGTTTCACACAGTCTGAGGGAAAAAAGCAGAGCAAATTAGTTTCCATAATGGCCAAAAAATAACCTGTTTCACAAATAAAAGTTTTCCCCTTTGTTATAGGAAGTCAAAAGGGCTGATGTGGGACAATATTTGCTCTGGCATGTCCACTGCTGTCTGAACTCACCGGAGGTAAAAGACAGATTTAGTCGTACGCTCCTGGTAGACAAACATGTTCTTCCTGTTGACTATAGAGAAGGAGTTCAGCACGGAGCGAAGGGCCTGGATCGCTGTGGAGGACAGAGACATGAAGTTAATGTTGGAAAAAAAAAAATCAAACCCTGAACGCCAGAAATAACCCTAATCCTTTCCCTCTAACCCTCATTAGTCAAACAGCCAGACCAGTCATCCAGTGCAGAGAAGGCCAAACGGCATTTTGTCATGTCTGCAAGGATTTTATTAACCTTATTGGCCCGAATATAAGATTTATTTTTTTTTTCATTAAAAAACAATGTTTTTCATTAAAAACAATGTGATTATGGGGGGTTACATTATAATCTGGTCTATTTAATTATACAGGCTACAGTTGTCCAGAGTCGCTACGCAGATTTTAGAAAAATATGTTAGCTTACAGGCATTTGAACAAATGGTTCTCCCAGAAAACGAAAACTCATGCTTTATCCAGCTGTGTGTGGTTGCAAGTGACTGGTCATCACACTAGTAAAGTGCACAAGGAACTGTCATGGTTTATCATGTTTAAACTTCTGACCCCCCAGATATCTCTTTGGGGGGTCAGGGGTCAGGCAGAGGACAGAGAGGTCCCGGCAGGGTTGACCACAGATATTCAGGGAGTGTCCTTCTCTGTCCGGGTCCCCTCTCCTCTTCTGCATAAAAGTAACTGTTTGGGTTTGTTTCTTTCTAGGACAATTAGGGGTTTTTATCATTAACCAAATCAACAGACGCAACTGCAGAGGGCGCCAGTTTTTGTAAAGCCATTGACCTCACTGTGGGTGGGGTTATTTTACCGCCGTAACAGAGGACCGCCAGGCAGCAGGTTAGAGGACGTCTGTGAGGAAAAGCAACATGCAGGTTTTTGAGATGTTCCGTTAGCAAAGTTCAGATTGCATTCGAGTTGAAGTTTTGCGAGAGTTTTTTACTTTTTATTGTTTACTTGCACAAATCTTTCAATGCAATATTATTTCAATGACATTGTTAGCCCTTCAATATAAAATAGTTTATTTAAACTAAATTAATTTGGTTTATCAGTCTTTTTATTTTATTTATCGTCTTTATGTTCTGTTCCTAAAAAACTGGTTCTGGAAGGAGGGGGTCGTCTTATAATCAGGGTCGTCTTGTATCTGGATCAGTACGGTACTTATTGGTAGTCATGCTATGGTAAGTTTAGTTTTTGCATTTGATGGTTTACCTCACAATCATTATATTTCGTCAAGTTTATCACTGTAAGGTGTCCAGACTTTTAATTATAACCACTTAAACCAAATTATCACAACATATATTTTAAATATAACTATATATAAAACAAAGAGTTGGAATGAAACACTTTAACTAGCTGTGTTACCATTTTGGAACAGCCATTTGCAATAAAATATTTTTTTTTTTGGCTTAAAAGAAGGCCCTTTAGCACACGTCTTGGCTTCCATTAGTCCTCACCACTGGAGAGGGCACTTTAGTACCGGTACATGTTTTTTGCTTCCAACAGGGCGCGTTAGTAAATGTTTGACTTTCAAGAGGTCAAGTTATCAAATCTTCTGGCCTTCAAGAGGGCACTTAAGTAAATTTTTTTGCTTTGAATAGACCGAATTAGTAAATATATTGTGCACTTTAGCACACAATTTCGGCTTCCAAGAGGGCCGCTTTCTGCTTGTTTTTTGGCTCCCAAAGGGCAAATTAGCACATGTTTTGGCTTTCATTAAAGTATTTTGTGGGCAACAGTGGCGTTGGATGTAGGAGGTTGCCCTGAAATCGAAGGGTTGATGGTTCAGGCCCCGACTCTGACTTTCAGTGTCGTTGTGTCGTTGGGCAAGATACTTCACCTGCATTGTCTACTGATGGTGGTCAGAGGGCCCGGTGGCGCCAGTGTACGGCAGTCCCGCTTCTGTCAGTGAGCCCCAGGGCAGCTGTGGCTACAGTGTAGCTTGCCACCATCAGTGTGTGAGTGAATGGGTGAATGAATGTAGTGTAAAGCACTTACACTAAAAAGGCGCTCTTTAAGTACATGCTATTTACCATTTATCTTAGAACATGTTTTGTTTTTCAAAAGGAAACTTTTTCATGCATTTTTGGCTCCAGGAGGGCTCCATAATATAGTGAGGTTTTGAATAAAATATAGTCATCTAGAATGTGTAATTAAGGTTCACTATAGACCTGCCTCTGTCCTGAATGTAGGGCTCTCCCTGCTGTTCATCTGCCTGCCACCCAGCCACATCTTCTCACCTCACCTTTCTGTTAAATTTGCTCTTCCAGCCGATACACAACAAAGACACTAGGTACACGATCAAAATGGCTCCATTGAATCCATTAAATGCTGAAAATGGGCCTTTCGTCTGGAATTCCATGTCTCCTACAGTGGTCGAGGCGTTTAAGCGCCATGCAAATCCGTCAATTTAAAGAAAATTCTAAGCATAGGGCAAACTCCCATATTTAGCTCCAATTAGACCGGCAAACAAACACACAAACAGTGCAAAGATGAAATGCTGCAATCCAAGAAAACAGAGATAGGTCAAGTTCAAACTCACTGCAAACACATAAATGATGCTAACCCACAAACACACAGAACGGCTTCCAAGGTAAAATGTTACCAGCTGAAACTACACCTTGTAAAACAAAAAGAAGAGTAAAAAACAAGGTTGCCTGATTAAAGGTTGGGTTAAGAAACCATAAAGTGAAACGCTGCATTCAGGCTACCTAAAGCTAACGGGACTTTTAAAGTGCAGAAGGGTAAATGCTGATGGAAAGGGATACTCATTAAAAAGCTTCTTCTGTAAAAAGCGTCTCTAGCATTACGGATGCTTGATGGTCACTATGATCACAGCTACATGATAACTGTCAGCGCAGCACCACCATCTTCATGGCCCCCAGCAAATGGGAATATGGGAAATGGCTGGAAAACAGAACATGAAAGCTGATAAAGCATGACTGAAATGAAGCGACAGCCTCTCTTCATTAAGCATCCCTTGGTTCAGCCCGACCCTAACACAATTACACAATCAGCTGCTGAGTGGAGCATCACCAGCCCAGGAGGAAGAGCTGAACTCAGAGCTTTACTTTCACTCACAGTCCGACTCTGTTGGACGTTATTTCATCGTTCATTCCTGGCCTTCATTAGAGTTCTTGAAAAAAACAATATTGTTCAAATATTTCCAAGAAGGTACTAATGGAGTTTTCATGACATTATGGGGACAGCCACGGTGACGTCACCAATGTGTCTGACTCGTGATGAGGTTTAGGTTCTTCTGCCTTTGGCCTCCACTGTTTCTACAGGATCACCGTTCTTCATGATGTGGAGGTGATTCCTCCAGGATAAATGAACAATGGTCAGATGGAGCAACAGCGCCGGCAGCAGCGCTGAGAGGACGAGGAACAACTCGGAGAGAGAGAGTGAGAGAGGCACTACTGCCAGCGACTTTGCTGCTAGAGTTAGAGAGTTCTCAAAACTCCTGCTGTGACTTTTTGGGGGGTTTTTTTGAGGAAAGCTAATGGAGACTTCTATGATAACACATGAAAGCATTGATCGGTCGGTCGATAAGCCAGTCAAGAGGGGAGCTGTTCAGCTGCGTGTCCAAATGTTCACGGCTGCAGCGGATCCTGCAGGATGTCATTTTTATTTTATTTTATTTATGGAACCGTTGTTGCATTGAAATACATTTCTGCTTGAAAAGAGAGAGAGCAGTGTTTCCGCTGCATTAAATGCTGTGCTGTGTGTGCAGTTAAAGATAATCAGGAAACGCCACCAGCTTCCCTCCCTGCTCTAATATAAGCAATGCGAAAAGGTTTTCTTTGAAAGTGTTTTTAACTAAATGAATGGAATAGTTTATGTTTCATTTATTTAAAAATTTAGTGCATTTTTATTTACTGATTGTTGTTCTACGATTTATGGAATTAAAAACTTAACTAAATAAAGATTTTTAGTTCTCTCGCTTTTTAGTATCAGAAAAATAAACAATATTGAAATACTTGTTTGAAGCAGTAAGGTTGCTGTTGTGACAACAGTTCCAATGGACGCCATAACAGGCAATCTTTCTGCTTCTGAATGCAGACAAAACAGAAGTTATAGTCTTTGGACCAGAAGCTGATTAGTCAGTCACTTCATTTGGATGGGATTAAACTGATTTCAGATAATAAAGTAAAAAATCTTGGTGTTGTTTTTGATCAGGACCTGTCATTTAAATCCCAGATCAAAGAGGTTTCTAGAATTTCCTTCTTTCATCTGAGGAATATTGCAAAAATGAGCAATCTCCTGTCCAGGGGTGATGCTGAGAAACTAGTCCATGCATTTGTTACTTCAAGGCTGGACTATTGTAATTCTTTACTATGAGGAAGTCCACAAACTGTAGTTAAAAGCCTTCAGCTGATCCAAAATGCTGCAGCCAGAGTTCTAATGAAAATGAAAAAGAGAGATCATATCTCTCCTATCCTGGCTTCTCTTCATTGGCTTCCTGTTAAATCAAGAATAGAATTTAAAATCCTCCTTCTCACATATAAAGCCTTAAATGGCCAAGCTCCATCTGATATCAGAGATCTGATTGTTCCTTATGTTCCTAACAGAGCACTTCGCTCTCAATCTGCAGGTTTACTAGTGGTTCCTAGAATTTCTAACAGTAGAATGGGAGGCAGATCTTTTAGTTCTCAGGCTCCTCTCCTGTGGAACCAACTACCAGTTTTAGTCCGTGAGGCAGACACCCTGTCTACTTTTAAGGCTAGGCTTAAAACTTTCCTTTTTGATAAAGCTTCTAGTTAGAGTGGCTCAGGTTATCCTGATCTATCTCTATAGTTCTGCTGCTATAGGCTTAGACTGCTGGAGGACATAGGGACCCCTTTTTCATCATTCTGCTTCATTCTATCTCTATTCTCCTACTCTGCAGAATCTGTTAGTTCAATCTTTAACGTTCTGCTCTCTCTGCTTTTTCTCATAGTAGCTTCATCTGGTCTGTTCCTGTTTGGCTGTGACTCCATCCTGGAGAGAAATATCAGCTGTGCTGCTGCCATCAACACCTTTGTTTCTAGATGTTGGAGCTTGGCCTGTTTTCCAGTGTAGTCCTGTTTCTCTGAC